AGCTAAAATGGGCTTGAAATTAACTCAGTAGCTGAGTTGAACCACTGAAACCTTTGTTTTCTGAAATATTAGATGGGAATAATAGTACCCTCCTGTGTTATAAGGTTGTTATAAGAATTCATAGAATTAAACTATTTAGTGCATGTCTGGAACATATCCATTATGCTGAATAATGGTAAACTATTATTACTGTTATTTTAAGTAACTGGATAAAGAGGAAAAAGATGTACTTACTGTGAGGTACAGTTCCTTAAACACTACCATGTTATTAACTAATCATTCAGAGCTTTGTAAGGAAGGACCTGCTCTTCAAGTACATCAGTGAATTCAGATACTTTAAAAACCTCATCAATCTGTTCAACCTACATTTGTAAAATCTATACAATCTGGGACAAATTGGCCACCATTTGTTCAGGTAATACCCAATACAAGGGGACCTGGGGGAGAGGGCCTTTCACTTGCCAAGCCCTGTAAAACAGTAGTTTTGGGTTATATCATCCCAGAGTGTGTGTCTATATATGTTATGTGTGTATATATATGATATATATATAATTTAAATTTGTATAAATGCTTCATATGAACTAGCAGCAGCCCTGGGGTCCAATCCTAAATCCCACAGCAATTTAGGATCTTGACCAAACCCTCTGTCATACCCTGGCTTTCCTTCTTCAGGCAATATTATATAGAGGAAGTCCTCCCTTGGGGTTGACAAGGGTAAGGGTGGGGAGCTGTGCTCCAGGGTTTCTGGGAAAGACAAACCAACTCAAACAAGCCTATTCTATCTATCAGCTCTACCCAGAAGCCGAAATGGGGAGGGAGACTGCCTTTTCTTTCTCCCTAGAGAGCTCATACCTCAATTCTGCTTTAAAGGTATTGCTTGAGTATTGAGGTATAGGAGTCGGAGGGAGCGATGATGAATGCCTTCTCAAATAAAACACTTTTTCTATTTCCTGTTTCTTTCTATCCACCCAAATGAATGGTTGAGAACTTTGCTGCCAACTTTTGCCTTTGAGCCCTTCCAATCCACCTAGATTAATCCTGGTTGTCCTATCAGATTTAGCTTTCCATAATCCACAATAGTCTCCCATCCCAGAATGAGGTATGGGCTTATTTATTTATTTATTTAGACAGGGTCTCACTCTGTCACCCAGGCTGGAATGCAGTGGCACAATTATGGCTCACTGCAACTTTAACCTCCTGGGCTCAAGCAATCCTCCCACCTCAGTCTCCATCCAGCTAATTATTAAAAAAAAAAAAATTTTGTAGTGATAGGGCCTCATATTTTGTCCAGTCTGGTCTTGAACTCCTGGGCTCAAGTGATCCTCCCATCTCAGCCTCCCAAAGTGCTGATATTACAGATGTGAGCCACCATACCCAGCCCCCTCTACTTTTTGATATCATCTTGTACGTACTTCCCAGAATATAAATCCATGAGGACAGGACCTGTGCCATCTTGTACACAGTTTTATTTCCAGCACCTAGAACAGTGCCTGATACATAGCAGACATCCAGTAAATATTGTCGAATGACTGAATAAATGAATCATATACAAGTAAAGAAGGAAAAAAAAAAAAAAACAATACTATGTAACCATAATTGCCTTCTATGGAGGCTAAAGAGTAGATCCTGGAACATAAAAGTCCCCATGCCTGAGCACCAGGATGGATTTAGGTATGAACAAAGTGGGCCTGGATTTGAATTTTGGGGATGCACGAAAAGAACAGAATTACTCTGTACAACAGACAGCAAGCACTTCCTGGAGCTGGAGTTTGGAGGAGGGTAGAATGCAGTGCAGGAGGGATGATATGAGGAATAGAACTGGGAGATGGATGAGAAGATTGGCAGGAGTATGGCTGTTGTGTGGGGTAAAGTAGACAGTGAGAAGGGCCTGGTTGGGGTTGGGGGGTGCTGGCAAATGGACTTAAAACAGGAATGTGCACTCTGCCATTTGAAGTTTATTGCTGTGCTCTCCCATGACCCCAAAACTCCCAGTTCAAGTTTTTGCAATACATTATCAGCCTGGATTTTATGATTGCTTTGTGTGTGGTGTAGGGGAGGGAGAATAGATGAGAAAGAGTTGTCTCCCAAGCTTGAGTTTATGCCAAGACAGAGATAAAAGAACAGCTACAAGATGCACAGTACATTAGAAAGCAGGAAATCAGAGCAGAACTGACTGTGAATGCAACAGAAATCTTGGGAGCAGCCTTTGGGCCTCAAAAGGACATGAAATGGAAGTTTTGTGCTGATTTCAGTCAGATCTCAAGGGACCAGGAGGTCCCAGCTAACACCTGGGACACACTATGTATTCTACACAAGGGTTAATTTTCTTGCCTTTTTTTCAGTCCTTTGGACTGAGTTTCTTGATAGCAGGGGTTTTCTTGTTTGTAAGAACATCTACATCTCCAGCACAATATCTAACACATAGTAGTTACTATTTATTGAATAAACATATGAATGGCTTTACCATAAACCTTCTTCCTTGGAAACTACCTAAGATTAATGAGAAAAAACTAATCAAATAAAGGAGTGGGAGGGAAGAAGGGAGAGAAAGATGGAGATACAGGTGGAAGTGGAGAGGCAGAGTGAGAGGGAGAGAGAAATAGTATGGCACCCTAATAAATAAAGCCTGATGGTTTTTTCAGATAATATTTTTTCCATATCTCTCACTTTTTAATTGTTTTTATTTTTTATTTATTTTTGAGACAGGTTCTCACCCTGTCACCCAGACTGGAGTAAAGTGGTACAATCTCAGCTCACTGCAGCGTCTACCTCCCAGGCTTAAGCAATCCTCCCACCTCAGCCTCCCAAGTAGCTGGGACCACAGGCGCATACCACCACACCCAGCTAATGTGTGTGTGTGTGTGTGTGTGTGTGTGTGTGTGCGCGCGCGCGCGTGTGCACGTGTGTGTGTGTGTTTTGTAGAGACAGGGTTTTGCCTGCTGCCCCGGCTGGTTTCAAACTCCTAAGCTCAAGTAATCTGCCCACCTCAACCTCCCAAGGTGCTGGGATTGCAGGCGTGAGCCACCAAGCATAGCCATATCTCTCATTTTGAAGAATCTATCATTTATCTTTATTCTCCAAAACTTCCTTGGCACCTGCTCCATACGCTAGAATGAGGTTAAATGGAGCTAAAAGCCTGGTGGACAATCTTAATGGGTGGTCCCTCTCATGCAAAACCCATGGACATCCCAATAGGATGCAATCCCATCTCAGTGAGAGCCGTGCATCACCTGGCCAGTATTTGATTAGAAGGTTGACTGATTGATTGATTGATTGATTGATTGCATTTCGAGGACAGAATGTACCCAGTACAGCTGTGGCCTACATTCTACTATGAGTTTTCCTAGAAGCAATGGTTAAATATGAGTAATAAGTCTCCTAGGCCTTTATTCAAAAAGCTTAATGCAAATTGTTTGGTTAGAGGATCTGAGGTTGTACCTCTGCAATAAAAGTTTTACAGACTATGGAAATAAATAATAACAGCATGTACTAATATTAATTTTTTAAAATCAGTGTATCCTCATTTCCCTGAGAATTTGATCAACTGGTAAAATAAACAAGTATAATAAAATCTGATTTTTTAAAAACATGTAAAGATGTGAGTTGGGCACGGTGGCACACACCTGTAGTCTGAGCTACTTGGAAGGCCAAGGAGTTCCAGGCCAGCCTGGGCAACATCACAAGACTCCATCTTCTAAAAAATAGTTAAAGATGCAAGACTTAAAAGTAAGTTTTTCAGTCCAGTGTAAATACATAAAAAATCTAAATGTCATAAGTTTTCCTTATTATTTCAGATTTATTCAGTATTGAAGTAGCAATTAATTACTAGTAATATAGATCAGTAAGTCGGGTAAAATGATTTCTTAGTCTGGTGGCCTGTATGAATGTGCTATTAAATTCATCCACTTTGAAATTACAAATATGATTAAAGTCTATTTTTCCTAGATGAAAACACATTTCAGTAGGACAGAGACTATTGGTCTGTATACTCACTGTAATGATCTAATAGGATGGACAGTTGCCTAGGATGCCTTTGGGCACAAAAATTTACTCTCACTAAAGGTGTTATAGAGGTAACTTTTTCTTAGAATAGAATGTAATACAAATTGAGTTCACTCTCAGATATGTTTAACTCTTATTCTCTATATTACTTTGAAAAATGATCTCTCCCTCCCTTCTCTCTTCATCTTATGGGACACAATATACCACCAGCAGGCAAGCTCAGTGTGTGACTGCAGTGTAGTTCATATATCATGGCTGCATCCACAATTCAACCTGGCCTTCAGCTTACTTGCCCTCAGATTCTGAACATTACAGGCAGTGTGCATTCCCCAAGGCCAAGATTATGCCTAATGGGTGGCAAGGAGAAAACCACTTGTCATTCTCCAAAAATATGACCTGCCAACAAAATGTGGATAAGCTCAAGGAACCATTTCCAAACATGGAAACAGGACTGGATCAGATTGGGGCAGATGGAAGCTTTTCCCAGTTCTTGATTTTGCCTATCTCCCTAACTGATTTCTCAATCACTCAACACAGGATGAAACGGAACAAAAATGACCTCTATTTCCAACACTTTGGAGCTATTAAAAATAGTCAAAGTTCTCCTAATCAAAATATTAGAAAAATTAGGGACTTTAGGACTATTCTAAAACCCTTTATAATTAGGAAAATGTCCTAGCAGGGTTAATGTTTTTAGAAAGTAAGAACTGAATACTTTAATGATTATTATATTATTCGAAGTGCTCTCAACTTTGCCTTCTCTGTAGGTACCTGTTATCACTAAGTTTATATTTTGCTTTGCAGGAACATTTTTAGCTATTCACTGATTAATGAAAGGAACATCTGCCCCTATTAAAAAAGCATAATATGTCAAAGATACATTAACAAGACTTCCTTTATAAATTGGCTATTTTCTATCACTCTGGGGCTACAGAGACTTAGTTTCATCTTGTTTTCCTACTGCTTTTCTAATCATTTTTCTCTACTTCCTTTGACAGCTCCTCTTCAAAAAGCAGTCCCTCAGTGAGCTCATCTGCTCTCAGGGATTCATCCATTGCTGCTGTGAGGATGCTTCAAAGTTTAACTGCAGGAACAATCAGTTGCCAGCCATCTACTACCTGATGAAACGGAGCAAAAGGGGATACAGGGTGATTGCTCTTATGTGTGTCTTCAGAACACTAAGTTCAAAGATAAAAATTTCATCTTTCCGGCCAACGAGATGGGCTGAATATCCCAAAGCCTCATTCTGTCAGTAGAGTCAAGATTTAAATGGAGGTAACATCCACTAAAGAGCCATATACTCGAAATTGACAAGATTCTAGAAGAAAAACCCTGCCTTTCTGGTGATACACTGCATCACTCTTGGCACCAAACATTTTAGGAATACTTGGTTATCTTCTACTGTTTTACATTTGTGTCAGTGATTTGACAGATATTTATTGAACACTTACTCTGGGCCAGGTAGTAGTCTAGATGTAGGCAGGCAGCAGTGAACGTGAAAGACCTTAGAGAGCCTTATGAATTTAGAGAGAAAATTCTAACAATAAACACAAAAAATAAGATAAATTAGAGCTATATAGGAGGTAAAAATAGACTAACATGATAGAGCAGTGGGAGTAGGATGGTGGAGGCTGCTCTAGTAAAGGTTGTTGGAGAACGCCTCTCTTAGGAGATACTATTTGAACTGACACCTGAGTAATGAAGACACAGAGATGCAAAGATTTTGGAAAAGTATGTTTCAACACAAAGGGAGAACATAAGGCTCTGAGAGGTGGGCAAGCTTAGCATACCTGAAGAATGAAATAAAAGCCAGCGTGTCTGGACAGTGGTGAGTGAGGGAAAAAGCCGGAGATGTGGCAGCAGAACAAGGCAGAGCTCGGTTCCTGTGGAGTCTGTAGGCTGGGGTTTCTCATCCTCAGCACTAGTGACATCTCATTCTCTGTTGCGGGGGGATATTCTGTGCAGTATAAGATGTTCCGTAGCATTCCTGGACTCTACTCACTAGATGTCAGTAGGTTCTCCCTAGTAGTGACAAACAAAATTGTCTACAGAAGACATTGCCAAGTGTCCCTGGAGGTGGGGGGGAAGAGGGTGGCGGTAAATAATCCCCCATTGAGAACTACTGTTGCAGGCAAAGGTAAGAAATCTGAATATTATTAGGGGTGATAGGAAGCTATTAGAACATCTTAGGCATGGAGGGATAAGAACTGAGTTAAACTTATGCTAACTTCTGTGGAGAAAAGTAAGACTAAAGGCAGGGAGGAAATTAGAAGGCAACTATAACAGCCCAAATCAGAAACGATGAACTAAGGTGGTAGCCAAGAGGATTCATCTAGGAATTAAGTGAAGGGTGGTAAGAGGAAGGAAAGAATCAAGCATGCTGCTTAGGCTCTCTCCTGGAGCCATGAAGTACTTGGGGCCTAATCCCTAAGCCTGAGATGTTAACGTCATTTACTGATGGGGAAGACTTGCAAGGAGATTTGTGAGCATAGGGGTTAGAAATAAAAACATTCTCTTAGCCATATTGAGTTTGAGATACCCATTAGGTATTCAAGCAGAGATGTCCAGTAGGCAATTAGATGTCTGAGTAGGGTGCTCTGAGAAGTCAGGACTGGAGATTTACATTAATGAGTCCCATAGAGATGGAATTCGAAGATGAGAGATTAGATAAATGTACGTAATATATTAGTTTCCTGCCACATGAAACTAATTTTATAATTTACATTCAATTTACAATTTTACCATTTTACATTCCCATCAGCAATATGAGCTAGTTTCTTCATATTCTTGTCAGTATTTGGTGTTGTCGCTATTTTTTACTTTAGCAATTCTGATACATATGTAGTGATATTGTCATTATTTTAATTTGCATTTCTCTAATGGCTAATGATGTTGAATATCTTTTAGGTCTGTTTATTTTCACCAGGATGGAAAATAACAAATGACTACAAACTGGTGGCTAAAAACAACAGAAAAATTTTTCATTCACAATTCTGGAGTCCAGAAATCCAAAATCAAGGTGTCAGCAGGGCTGCATCCCTCTGGGGACTAGGGGAACAAGCACTTCTTGCTTCTTCCCACTTCTGGTGACTGTCAGCAATCCTTGACTTGTGCCCTTGTGGCCACATCATTCCAAGTTCTACCTCTGTGGTCACATTGCCTCCTCCTCTTCTATCATATCTTTCCTAGTGTCTCTTAGAAGGATAGAACCCACCTGTATAATCTAGGCCCTCTCCAGCTCAAGTTCCTTAATTAATTACATCTACAAAGGCCTCATTCCCAAATAAGATAGCGCTCACAGGTTGCAGGAATTAGGACACGAACAAATCTTTTTGTGGGTCACCAGTCAATGTACTATAACTAGGGAGAGAGTATAGATAGAAAAGACAAAGGATAGAGGCTCGGAAATGCCAACGGATAGAAGTTGATAGATAGCTTTGCCCTGGGCTAAGTGAAAAAAAAAAAAAAAAAAAAAAAGGTGGTAGAGGAGGAATGAATGAGGAAAGTATGGCCAGGCAATGCAGTGGTCACAAATACCAGAGAGAGCGAGCCTCTAGTTCATGTTTCTTCTGAATATCCTAGGTTCCTTGGATTTGCCCCAGAGTAAGTACACAAATACTCCTTGAACTGAAATAAATGTTTAGAGTGATCTTTTTAAAAAGCACATTGTTCATGCCATTTAACTGCCTTAGGATTGGAAAAACTCATGGGTAATTACCCACACATTTATTGCTTTAGGTGAGCACCTGGAAAAAGTGAGAGAAGAAAGAAAAGCCCTTTTTTATTTTGTGCCAAGTTTTTACTATAACGGTAACCATCACTCTTCTTTTAATTCTTCATTCTCAAGCCTACAAAGGGTGAACATTTGAAACCTATTTAGCAAATTCTTTGGAACTGGCAGCAAACGTTCAAAGTTAAATTTAGGATCCAAACCTCCGTGATTGGTCAGTGAAGTGAAAGAGGTGGGGAGTAATGATTCAAGGAACCTGCTTTCCTTTGATGTCCTGATATAGTAATCGGGAATATATCTTGATGCAATTAATATACTTCACACTTGGGGAAAATAAGTTCATTGTCTTTCTGTAAAAATAATAGATTGAGTGTTCCCAATAACTTTGTAGTCAAATCATGTTGCCTTTACTAATTGATGAATAAACAGATCCTAAAATCCTTTGAATAGAAATATACCATGTAGGGTCAAAATGCCATCTGTCTTATGTAAACATTGATACCTTAGAGGAACACATTTTCAATCAAAGTAAAATTGGATTTATGGACCCAAAATGCAGAAACATTCGTCTTCCCTCCCTCCGCACCAAAAAATCAGAAGTTGTTCCTTAGTGGCTAGAAGGGCACCGTAGAACTTAATCCTCAAAATCTCTATAGGGAGCAATCTGAGGGAAATTTTCAACATTTCTCCTAATCAAATCACGTTGCTCCTACAAGAAACATGACAACCAAAGCAGTCCGTTTCCTGAGATGACTGAACACTATAGGAAGAGGTGCAAAGAATTTTCCAGGGTTTCCCTCTGCTCACACAACTGTGGATACATTGTAAGGCAGAGTTACTCAGGATCGTCATCCCATCCACTGGAAATGGATTCGGGGGTTGCAGTGTTGTGCTTTTGACCCCACTCCTCCATTGCCCACCCTCACACCTACCTGCAGCAAGATCCCAACAAGTAAACCCAATAACTTAAGACCAAGGCCTGCTTATCTAGGTACTTAAGCCTCCCAAGCAAGTATGAAATTTGTTAAATCATGGACTATTTAATTAATTAACTTGGTGTACAAAGCTGAAGAAAAGCATATTTCATATGCGAAATGAGAAGACTTAAAGTAATATTACGTATCTCAAAATATTTGAGGTTAAGTTTCATGCACTTTCCTCAGGCTAAATCACCCCACCCCCAACCCCAACATACACGCACCACGGCATCCAAACCAATATTCTGACTTAAGTAAGTATGTGGATGGACTAATGGAACATAAGACACATATTTTTTGAGATGTGAGAAGGATGAAAACAATGCCCACTCTTCAAAAATGCTAAGAGTAAAGTCCTTTGAAAGATAAAAGGTTTAAAGCAGAAGAAGTGTCAAGGCATTGCTGAGGCTAAGAAATGAGCACAACTTGCCAACAGTCAAAAGTTCAACAAGCAGCTCTTTTATGTGTCTAGAGAATTAGCTCATCTCGGCACTGTGTTCTCCACAAAAGTGGAGGGGGATTTTGGCAAGAAAAGTGACTGCATATTCTTGATTATTCCCATCAAGCTCTGATGGGAGTGAGCATCCATGGGTTCCAGTTCAGACTCTGTGACCTTTTCATGTTGTGACTGAAACAAGTCTTTGCCTCTCTCTAAGGCCCTCTCTCTCCATCTGCAAGACAGGAGTAATAACAGACATGCTGAGTCATTTACAGGTTTGTTGTGAGGATAACATGTATTAGTGGAGATGGAAGGGCTTTGCAGAAGCTTGAAGATGCAAGTCATTTTATTACATAGTGAAAGGCATCAGGATGGAGACCCTGTGACACTATTTAAGGCCCCATAATCAGCCAGGACAATCAACATTCTTTCAACTCCTAAAACAATAATTAGAGTAGCTACCATGTATTTAGTGTATCCCATGAACAGAGCATTTAACAATAATCTTTTATTTATGGTTATTATGTCCACCTTTACAGATTTAAAAAAAAAAAAAAGTCTGAAGAGGTTACGTGACTTTCCAAATCACAATTCTGGTAAATGGAGAGGGAGGGAGGCTATATCCAGATCTGATTCCAAAGCACATACTCTTACACAGTAGGTCACACTGGCCAAAGACCAGTGAGATGTGCAACATAGCCCCCAGTTGCATGGGTGGGTGTGTTGACAGAACCCAGCCTACCTCTTCTCTTAACTAATCCTCAACAGATCTTTCAAATTAGAAGCATTCAGGAGGTCCTTGCCATGGAAGATCACAGAGAACGTCCCTGGGGAGGAACCTCCTGTGTTTGTGGGGAATGACTTTTCCAAATACAGACCCAAGTTTCAAAGATCCATTAAATAGATGAGATTTGCCAGTACACCCTTGGGGTTTATAATGCAAGTCCATAGCTTCTTATCACCATGTCACCTTTTTGAATTCTTTTTAGATGGAGTCTCACTCTGTCACCCAGGCTGGAGTGTAGTGGTGCAATCTCGGCTCACTGCAACCTCCGCCTCCCAGGTTCAAGTGGTTCTCCTGCCTCAGTCTCCTGAGTAGCTGGGATTATAGGCACCCACCACCACGCCAGGCTAATTTTTGTATTTTTAGTAGAGACGGAGTTTCACCATGTTGCCCAGGCTGGTCTCAAACTCCTGACCTCAAGTGATCTGCCCACCTCGCCCTCCCAAAGTGCTGGGATTACAGGCATGAGCCACCATGTCCAGCCACCATGTCACCTTTTTGCCTCTATTCTCCATGTGCCTAAAGAAAAGGATATCAGAGTGAAAGTCACCCCAGCTCTGCAGTTCAGAGACCATTTGATTTTACTGTGAGTTACACTTACCTCCCCCACTCCCACCAAGCTTTCTTCCTCTTGTGTTCTGAATATAGTGACTGCTCAATAAGTATTGCTGATTAATTGGCTGGCTAAGAATAAGGAACAATTGATTTACCCAATAGGAAATAATTTTGATTTTGACAAAATAAAAATAATTACAGTTAAAAGAGTAAAGTTAAGTCTACTTAGGTATATGCTATGCAATGTGAGTTTGTAGATTCAATTATCTTTTTCTGTGTTCCCATTCTCCTTTTATTTCTTGCGACTTTTGGAACTGTTGACCACAATAGTTTCACCTTGAAACCATTTCCTCCATTGACACCCATGAAGCTTATGCTATCCTGGTTCCCCACAGCCTCTAGTTTTAGTGTCTTTCTGGTTACTTCTGTAGACTTTTCTTTCTACCCTTCACACATGGACATTACCTAAGGTTATGTCAGTCCCCCAGTTTCTCTTTAAAATCAGTCCTTATTTATGATGATGACTTCTAAATCAGCGTCTTCAAAACCCCAGTCTCTCCTCTCATTTCCAGTTTGTATCTACTTTTTATTTGGATTCCATCTTACTGTTTCCCAGGCTTAAAATTTTTGAAATAATCTTTGATGTTTTCCCTTAGGTTTTCATAACCACTCAGACAATTCCTACTAATTTTCCCTTAGTAATATTTCCAAGATTGATGCCTTCCTTTTATTTATTTAACCCATGTCTATTAAATTCTAGGCCCTCATCTTGAAAAATGCACCAACTTCCAGGTAAGGCTCTGCTTCCTTTTTGTTATCCTTTATTTCTCTTGCACTCGGTTGCCAGACTAATATTCCCTCAAACATTTTTTTCATTTTCCCACTCTTGTTCTTGACCTCTTAAGACAACCCTGCTTTGTCTATGAAATGAAGTCCACATTCTTCGCATGAGAGTCACATCATTGTAACATCTGGATTTAAGCAACTTTTCTAAATATATCTGCTTTCTCTACTTAAGACTGTTGCTCTGGGCAAACTGGCCTTCCCACTATCCCCTATAATAATGCTTTGTACATTTCGGCTCAAACCTTTCTTCCTGCTGAGAATGCTTTCTATACGCTACTTCTCTCATCCGATTCCGTCACTTTAGAAGGCCCAATTCAATAGTTTTCTTCCTAAGAAGCTTCCCCTGATTACCCCAATCCACAGTAAAACAGGCAGGGGAAATATATACTCTGTATCTGCAGCTACTGCTATCTTAGAGGCCATGTGCCATCTAAGTACATAATATCGTGGGACAGTTCATATTGCTGAATTATCAGTTCTATTTAGATTTCCCATTATGTTTCACTTTCTCTGAGGCTAGCAGCAGTTTGGCATGTTGTTAAAAAGCATGGAATCTGAATCTGGCTCACACCTGTGATCCCAGCACTTTGGGAGACCCAGGAGGGTGGATTACTTGAGACCAGGAGTTCGAGACCAGCCTGGCCAACATAGCAAAACCCCGTCTCTACTAAAAATGCAAACGTTACCCAGGCGTGGTGGCGAGTGCCTGTAATCCCGGATACTCAGGTGGTTGAGGCAGGAGAATCACTTGAACCCGGGAGGCAGAGATTGCAGTGAGCCAAGATCGCACCACTGCTCTCTAGCCTAGGTGACAGAATGAGACTCTGTCTAAAAAGAAAAAAAAAGCACAGTCTGGAGTCAGACTGTCTGGTGCAAGTCATTGCTTACTACCTGTATGGGCTTGGGCAATGTATTTTACTATGCCTAAATTTCCTAATTTGTAAAAATGGGGATAATATTATGCCTTCCTCATATATGTATTGTGAGGATTAAATGAGTTAATGTGTGTAAAGTGCTTAGAACAGTGTTTGCACATAAAGTACTTGGTAAATGCCAGCTATTATTCTCCCTCACAGACTCCCTTGTATATAGCTATACAGACAGAAAGAGAGAAAGATAAAACCATATTAGACAATGGTTTTTCAGATAAATCTATATCTACAGAAGGATACTTGATCAACTAACCAGTTGATTTGGAGAATATAAAAAATATCATCTATTTCAAGAATACAAATAAGTATTTTCCCCTTGTGGCTCAGTTTTATGCCTGAATTATCCCTACTGTGGCTTCAGCATGGGCAGCAGACTTATTTTCAGTCGAGACTTTGCCTAAAACTGAAATGCCCATTTTTGGTTGAACATCCTTTCACATTTGAGACCTACATAGTCCCTAGATGGCAATGCTGAGCCTATATGAAAGGGCACTTTGTATTACCATTTGTGTGCAGTTTGGAAGCAGGCTCTAGGACTTTTCCCATGAATAATCTTTCTGGAGTTAGGAAAAAAAAAAAGAGAGAGAGAGAGAAAAAAAGAAAAAGCACTCTTAAATAATGAAGATATTTAAGGCACGTTTGGAGGCAAATTGTCAGTGTTTTAAGTGACTTTTTGTTTTAAAGATACAGGCTACAAAATATGATTACATGAAAACCCATATATTTAATCTTTTTAAAAACTGAAATGAAAGTACATATTTGTAATATAATAACTGTACTGTATCATGAAACTATATGTGAAGAAGAGCATAAGTAATTGCCAATGTTAAGGAGAAATTAGGTGCAAAACTTGAGGAGAGAGCAGTTCCATGTAGGCAGACATATGCTAAATATCAGGAGGGTGGAGGTAAACAAGGACCCACAGGAATCGTGGCCTTTTGGAAGAGAAAGTGCATAACATAGATTTTGCTCCACCGTTTTTGCATTCTGATCCATTCCTCACCAAGCCCAGAGGGTCCAGTTTGTTAGAGAGGAGTTCACTAGAGAGAACCAACAGAGATCAATATCTTTTATTCTCCCTGGAGCTCATCAATACCTAATTTTATGCTGGCTCATGAGCTTTCACACTGGTGATCTTTGGCAATCTACATTAATTCCTAGGAATCTAAAATAAGCATTGTGATTTTGCAGTTATACATGCAAATTATGAAAATATAACAGATATTGCCATATGGTATAAAGTGTTGAAAGACTCAAGGTGTGTGCAATTCTGAGTAATTTTTAATTATCAAAAAAAAAAAAAAAAGGCTACAGTTCGAGAAAGATTGAGTCCTACAGAGTCTCTCCTTTTCTTGCCTGAAGTTGATAATACCTCTGCCACTCATTTCTGAGAACCCTATGCCATTAGTCATTAACTCATTCAAATAGCCAATGGATATATAACGAGCACCTATCCTATCCTCTGCGCTGGGCAATGGGGGATAGAGTGATAAGACAAAGTCATCACTGCCCCGCTCAGGGGCTAGAATCTGACACAAACTTCAGCAAAGAGTTTACAATTGTGATGAATCCTATGAAGGGAGAAGTTCAGGGTATCATAAAATGATGAAAACAATGGTGTGCAGTGCAGGAAAACCTGTGCTATTGTTCTCTAAGCTCTCAATATAGTTTGGATAAATCAACCAAACAATGTGAAGATGACCAATGTGTTTAAACTCATACTGAGCCTTTTAAAAAGGGCTGTCTTCCTGTCCCTTATATACTTCAATCAAGTGAAGTTCCAAGGTCACTGCTGTTAGTTACACTGATGGAACTACAACCTTGTGTTCTTCCTTTTCACATTAAATTCTCCTACAGAAAGGCAGAAAGACATATTTAAAGGAAGGAATTTGCAGGATTCAGGGTTAGAATCCTGACTTCACTACTCTGATTCTGTATAATTTTTTTAAAATTATCTCTCTGACCTTCAGTTTTCTCCTTTAGAAAATTGTTATCATAATAATTCCTTCCAAGGTTGTTATACTATTAGAAATAAAGTTTTGTAAAGCACCAGCACACTGTCTGATGTATAAAGCTCTTAATAAATAATATATGTTAGTATCATTGCTGAGACAGCAAATCCTCATTTTTGAACAAATGTGCTAAATTGTTCTATCTAGAAAGATGAAGTACCTACCATCCAATGTGATCAACCAAAATACCAACAATAACAATTGAAATAGTAAAATATAATATTCATGTTTGCAGTTTGGTATTACATTATTTCTGGTATTTTCACCAATTTTACCTATCTTACTAGAATGAAATTTGAGAATCATATATAAAATTAATTAGAGTTAATTCAAAATACATAATTACAAGTAACTTGAATTCATACAGAACATCTCCTTTTCTCATGAATTAAAAAGTTTACTCTCAGATATGGAAAAAATTAAAATAAAAAAGAAGTGATTTTACTAAATTTCATTATCAGAAGAAGGAACAATCCTCTATGTGGTAAATGAAGTCTTGATGAGTTTAACTATCTCTTTCCACTGAAAATGCCTATTGCTGTGGATAGGCAGATTGCATATGTCATCTGTAATCGATCTTCACAATAATCTTCAAAGTAGTGTAAGGGGATTTCCAGTCCCTGCGTCTAATTATTCCAGAGCTGGGAGGCTGGGGACTATGTACTTCTCTCATCACCCTTCACTCACCCTTCAAGACAGAGGATGATTTTCTTGCCTGATTGTTGAGACTAAGAGAAGGGACTGAGAAAGCCTAGTGTAGGTCAATCCCTTTTAAGACCCCTTACTTGGGATGTATTCTCAGCTATATTTAGAAGAGTGGGCTCTCTCCTCTGCCTGAGACTGGAGGGAGAAGTTTAATTCTGGGATGAAATATTAATAAGTTCATGGCGGTTGCACATCTTAGCCACATCCTCAAATTCAGCTTTAGCTTTTTAAAAAAGTTTATATTTTAATCTTCATCTGTTTCCTATGTTTTTTTCAATTTGTTTCTAGCCTCAAGAGTGATATTACAACATGAATTTTATTATGAAAAAAATCATGTTTGGAAAGGTAACATGCTAGTACTAAATAACTGGGTTAGATTTTCAGCTGTGGCCTATATTACTATAAAATTTAGATTTTTTTTGATACAATGCTGTATTCATTTTGCTGAGCAGTAAAAGTAACAACTACAACAATCATAAAACTCTTTGTACTTTTTGAAACTATAGATTTTTGCCCTTGGGTCCCAACAAACTTGCTGTTTCTTCGTGTACTGGCATTGTCTGGTGCTATGGTCTGAATGTCCTCCGAAATTCGTGTGTCAAAACTTAATTGCCGGTGTGATTGTATTAAGAGGTGGGGCCTTTAGGCAGTGACTAAGTCATGAGGACAGAGCTCTCATGAATGGGATTAGCGACCTTATATACGGGCTAGAGGGGACCAGTTTTCTTTTTCAATCCCATATGAGGGCACAGCATTCTCCCCTCCAGAGGATGCAGCAACAAGGCAGCATCTTGGAAGCAGAGACTGTGCCCTCCCCAGACAGATACTTGCTGGCACCTTGATCTGGGACTTCATAGCCTCCAGAACTGTGGTATTTTTAGCAGCACAGACAAACTAAGGTTGGAGGTAATAGAAAGTATCTAAGTTACACACTGTGTCTGTATAGACCGAGCACACAGAGAAGTAAGACAGGAGATATAAATACCAAGACCACAATGTCAATAAAATCCTGCCTCCACCTGCCTCCTCCCAACAAGTTTCACCATTTAGGATAGGTGATTTCTCTTGACTTAGGTATACAATGGCATGCAGACTTCATTATCTTTACACTGGTTGTATAGAAATGGGCCAGACTTCATTGTGCCCAGTTATATTTTTTCATGACATTTGGATAGCCTTCTTTTTCACAACCAATCGAGTTTATGGATCTGAATTTCTGAGACTCAACCTTGTATTAACTATAAAACCCTATTTTGACAGTATTATTTTCCGTATTCTTATGCTCTGGCATGTGGGATCTCACTAACCAAGGAGAGACTGGGCTTCCAAGGCTTAGCTAATTCCTAGAGATAGTCCACTTGCCTTTGAGCACATTTTCATAAGTAAACCAACCAATCCTGAGTCCACACTCCCACTGCCTCCTCTTCCTGGCTCTGACACTCCAAGAAGCAATATTCCTCTGTCCTAGTCACCCTAGCACCAGGTAACAGACAGTTGGGGACCATTCTTATAACCCAGAACCTACCAAAATTATTTAAATTATCAAATCCTAAGCCTACTCAGCTACTTGCCTTGTCTGGTCCATTCATTCCTGTAGAAACCACAATACAGGCTCTTGCCCATGCCCTCTGCTCTCTGCTTCTGCTTCTGACTGACCTTGGTGCTTCCCTGGGCTGTCCTGTGTGGCCCTAACCTTGGAAACTGTGAGTAGCAAGCTATCTTTTCAATGGTAATTATCTCCTGATCTGTTGGCCTCACTATAACTGAACAAAATAAAATCCCAGATACATATTAAAACAAACCTATATCCTTGCAAAAGATTATACGCAACCACTGGTATTTTAATATACCTGCCTTTTGTGGCTGTTATACACTAAAACTTATTACAAATTAATGAAATGATGATTTTCTAAAATTCTTTAGAAAAACAATATTATTGAGAATGAAATGTGGCAGTTGTTTTCTATTGTGAATTCTTTTAACAGAATGTCATCTTTTTCAAACTTGGTTAAACGCATCTGACAATTATTTAAAGGGAAAGCAATTTAAAGCTACGTGGTGGCCTCACAGCTTCAAAGAGAATTTTTTGTAAGCTTCATAATGACAGTAACTTTCACTATAAATTATTTTGAAAGTAGAGTTGAAACAAATATCAAGTAAAACTAACTATATTTGTGATTTGTATTCTGAAGAAAAAGTGCAGGGTAATGAGGATTGACTTGAAAGCATGTGTAGAAACCCCTAGTTCAGTGATCAACATGTAATAGAATATTTTATTTTATTTTATTTTATTTATTTTATTTTTTGAGACAGAGTCTTGCTGGAGTCAGGCTGGAGTGCAGTGGCTTGATCTTGGCTCACTGCAACCTCCACTTCCTGGGTTCAAGTGACTCCTGCCTCAGCCTCCCGAGTAGCTGGGATTATAGGAATGTGTCACCACGCCCAACTAATTTTTGTATTTTTTTTTAAGTAGAGACGGGGTTTCACCATGTTGGCCAGGCTGGTCTCGAACTCCTGACCTCAAGTGATCTGCCCATCTGGGCTTCCCAAAGTGCTAGGATTACAGGAGTGAGCCACCACACCTGGCTGTAGCAGAATTTAAAGATGCTATTTTTCTCTACCAACACCTGCAACAGCATTCAATTAGATTTGCATTTTGGAAGGAAGTTGGACTACCAAAAACCACAGTAGCAATTTCACAGGGTTAGGGTAGTGTTTTTCAACTTTTTTTCATTATTACTTCCTAGGGAGTCTTTTTAGACATTTGTTTTTCTAATAATATCCTGCCCCCACCCCATCATGAAATGCAAATGCTTCGGATCTGCCATATACCTGTTTATCTACTGTGGCTTTTTAGAGATCCACGAACCATTGTCATTGCTACAATTTTTTCACCACCACCTCATCAAATTTCATGCTCTTGGGGGGACATATCACTCCCATTGACAAAGCATCTTTAGGCTTGCCAATGGTTCTTGGTGACACATTAGAACTACCTGGAAAGCTTTTAAATTCCAAGGCCCTACTCAGAGATTTTTATTTGTCTGCAAGGAGACCCAGGTTTTCTTATTCTAAAACCCTCCAGTGGGTTAGATCAAGAAAGATCCTTCACCACCGAGCACAGAGGAGCAACTCTCACTGCAGTTAATGCTTTAAACCCATGCAAGTTAACTGAGTGATATAATTGGGGTATTCGTCCTCTCCAAATCTCACATTGAAATTTAGTCCCCAATTGGAGGTGGGGCCTAGTGGGAGGTGTCTGGATCATGGGAACGAATCACTCATGAATGGCTTGGTGCCCTCTCCACAGTCACAAGTCAGTTCTTGCTCTATTAGTTCACATAAGAGCTGTGTTGTTTAAAAGAGTGCGACACCTCTTTCCTCTCTCTTTTTCTCTCACAGTTGATGCCTGCTCCCCTTCCCCTTCCACCGTGTTTGAAAGCTTCCTGAGATCCTCACCAGAAGCAGATGCTGGTGCCACGCTTCTTGCACAGCCTGCAGAACTGTGAGCCAAATAAAACCTCTTTTCTTTATAAATTATCCAGCCTCAGGTATCCCTTCATAGCAACATAAAAGAAAGACACTAAATAAAATGAAATGCTGGGTTTGGAATTTACCTTCATTAAGTAACATAAATTGATAGGCATCGATTCTTTCACACTACAATAAAAACTTGTGTATTTATATGGATTCCCCATGTAGACTCAGAAAATGGTTGTGGAGAAAATATTTCTGGAATAGAAAGAGAAATTGAGCAAAGATCATGATTCTAGGACCACGGTGTTGGAAGGAGAAAGAGCCCCTTTACATTTTGCAGTTGGCAGATGGACGTTACCTGGGGTTAAGCACACTGACAATCACCTTCAGTTTGTACTCTGATCCCAGGAGGGTCAGTTTTGGTCAAACAGTAGTTCTCAAAGTGTGGTTCCTGGCCCATAGTATCAAAAATGTAAATTATTGAACCTTGGCCCAGACCTGATGAATCCGAAATGCAGGGTGGGGGCAGTGATGTGTGACTTGGTAAGACGCCCACCAGGCGGTTCCAGTGCGTACTGAAGTTTGAGAAACACTGCGGTAAAAACATGATTCTTGAGCGTCTGCTTCTTTTCTTCCTTAAAAAAATGGACATTTAGTCCTACTGCTGATTTTTATCCTATACCTGGTTAATTAGTTCTTCATTCTGTTCCTATGAACCAAAATGTTAACAAACCGGACCTAATTAGTGCAATCAACTAATTAAAAAATTTCATCTTTTAAAAACCACTATTGGAAATATGAAATCAGACAGAGTACAACCAACACCAAACATTTTGAACCTCTAGTTACAAAAATTCTAGAGAAGAAAAAGAAGGGTTTTTTTTTTTCTTTTGCTTACAGAATTAACTAACCAAAGAAGTTTCCTTTTGGACCTTTATGGACATTTAATATTATTTCTGCTTTCCTGGAAATATCAAACATTAATCAGATCCCCAAAAATAAGGTGGTATTAAGCAATGAGAGTCATTTGGACAATACTAATGGTATCCAGTCTACTCATTGTTATTTAAATCATGTCAATTTTGAGCTACATTGCCCTAAAAGTTAATATATAGGCATATATTATTTATATGTACATACACATATTATATAGACACAAACACACTCACACGCACAGTGCTATGAAAGCATATGCCAGAATTAAACTGCCCCATTTTCTTAAGTTGTTCTCATTGTTGATTTAATTTTACATATGGTTCGAAATAGCCTTTTAACAAGAGAATCAATTCTAAAGCAGAAGTGTGATGATTACTTCTCCTAGGCTAGGTTTTATTAGTATTATACCAATTCTGCCCCGACAGGGAGAGGAAGAGGGCTGAAGATGATAGAGGTTAAACAGCAGAGTTCAAGGCAATAAACTTATTGCAGGTGGCTTTAATCAAACTTAAGAGGACTGGAACTGAAGGTCATTCTCCTCCTCTGCACTTCAAGAGGAAATGCTGCTTTAAATAAGGCTCAGGCTGTTGACATGAACATACTTCGAAAATAATATTGTATGGGAATCCAGGCATAAAAACAAAGTGCTGTGTCCCATTTGCTATGTAGCTTAAGGGAAAGGCTGTGCCACATTATGTGTATCATTGCCCATAAAAGGTAATATAACTCTGCTCACAAACCATTGTTCAAGTATACATTGTGCCTGATGTAAACCATTTCCCTATCAGGCTGTAAAAGAGACAGTACAGAGATGACAGGGAAATTCATCTGAAATCATGAGAAATTCTGAAGTTCACAGAATTCTATATGCTTTAAGATGAACTCAGCTGACTCAAAGCCAAGCAACAATGTAATCCCTTATAAAACATAAAACACCAATGAAATATTCATTTTGATAGAACAGATTAGGAAGAGGATTCAGTTCAAAAATTTTAGCTGTGACTTCACAAAGTCACACAAAAGCAACTGTGACTTCCTGAAAGCAACACAACTAATAAGTTCGGAGAAACAACTTGTCAACTCAAAGGGCTTGACCTGAAAGTCCAAGCCTAAATATATTTCTTTTAATGATACTAATTTCTACAGGGAAAAAAAAAAACCTTTATTAATTTCACTCTTAACACACGCACTTTATATAAGGTGTTTAGAAAAGAGGGCATGCTAAATTATTTTATCTTGGATTTGAAATGTTAGAGTGAAATCATAAGGAGACTAAAGTACTTTATTGTAACTTTCTAGGACTTTACAACCTCTAACAACATGAATCAAGACATAAATGTACCAGTTCTAAAAAATAAAGAACATAAGAGGGATCATCAGTTACTGCTTTCATGTTATATTTAGAATACAGCAGAGAACGAGCGAACGACGTGTAGGGCTTTCATAGGAAAGCAGAAGCTGACCATGGTCTGATCGCTGGGCTGTGGAATCCTTCAGGAGTTGCTCCATTCTTTTTGGGTGGCAGATTTCTAAAACTGGGTTACAGAAAGAGCAAGAAAATCACTGACCTTTCCTAACCATCAGCCAGCTGTATTCCAAATAGCACGGGAGGTCACAAAACAACACATCTTCAGCCCTTATTTTGGCAAGAGTGTTGCTTTTGACTGATGCCTTCCTTACCTTTCTTCCCAAACTTTAAAGTCATGTCTCATACAGAAAATAAAACAATATACATTACAGTAGGATACACATTTTTAAGGTTATGGCATCTGGACCGACTTATAGTATTTTATGTGGGGAAGTTCTTAGATAAAAGTCCTCCTCTTTTTTTTTCCTTTCAGTCTGCCTCTGGTTAGATGATCATGTGATGCTGACATTCCTTGATCCACAATGCCCTACACTTATATCATCTTGCTTTTTCCAGGTATTTTCCTAATAGTGTTAAAGAAAGTGTTATTGGCCAGGTGTGGTGGCTAATGCCTGTAATCCCCACACTTTGGGAGGCCGAGATGGGCAGATCACGAGGTCAAGAGATGGAGACCATCCTGGCCAACATGGTGAAACCCCATCTCTACTAAAAATACAAAAATTAGCTGAGCATGGTGGTGCACACCTGTACTCCCAGCAACTTGGGAGGCTGAGGCAGGAGAATCGCTTGAACCCAGGAGGCAGAGGTTGCAGCAAGCCGAGATTGCGCCACTGCACTCCATCCTGGTGACAGAGCAAGACTCCGTCTCAATATAAATAAATAAATAAATAAATAAATAAATAAATAGTGTTATTTAGTCAAATAGCTACCATCAAGACAGCTATAAGAAAAACTTTTGAGGAACAAATTGTTGGCTATTTTGACTACATGTATGTAGTATCCTAGTTTTGAGGTAGGCATGTTGTGTTATGAAACTGGAAAATAAATATATAGGACAAGTCTGGGCAAATCATCTGGCATTTTCAAACATGCACACCAATTATCCTGGGATGTCATGTCTTGGTTTCTAGCATTTTTATCTTAATAGATATAACAAATACATCTCACTTTCTTGTTCCAAGTAAGATATGTTTCAGTGTCACCTGCTCTAAGATATACTTAGTGTGTTTTTTTCTTTAACTTGTTCCGATTTGGGGGCATTTGCAAAGGGTTATATGTCATGGATAATTTTTTTTTCTGAAACTATTTTCTTAAAGTAATACTGTATTGATCTTTGGCAATTAGACTGATATAGTTACACATCTCATATCAAAATTCTTTGTGTTCTTCATATATTTTTTAAAACATGATCCTCTGCAAAGAGTACTAGTGGATAGGAAATAAGTTAAAAAGACAATATGACTGTGAAATATTGTCAGAAAATACTATTCTAGGAACTTTTGGTAGGTGCAAATAATAATGGTTCACATTTATTGAGTGTTTACACTTGGCACAGCATTAAGTACTGTACTTCATTACCATTTAATAAACAGCAATACCAGAAGATAAATACTGTAATTATGCATGTTGCAAGTTTTACTAAGGAGCTGAGGTTCAGAGAGGCCAAGAACTAGTCCGAGGTCATGCACAAGTCAGTGGTAAGGTAGGATGTCAACAAAGATCCTGACTGCAGTGCTTAACCACCACACCAGTCTCTCTCCTATCTGTATAACACTACCCCCGATTGATGGTATATTTTCAATGTTAACTTTCAGCTAAACTCCACCGCTGAGTGTTTCTCAGGCATCATGTAAAATTGTTAGATACATCATACAAAGCCATTGAAAAACTACATAAGGCAATTATTTCCCTGTGCAAAGACATTAATTGTCAAAATATTTCTCTTAAGAGAACTGAAACAAACATTCTGAGTATGATGGATTAAAGTTTTAAAAGTTACATTATTATTGGGTTTTTTGTTATTATTATTAGTTAGTAAAACATGGCCTGAACCATCATCATAATATAGAACATCTAACTCTAGTTTGAATCAGCATTAAGAGTCAGTGAGTGGCTTAGCTTAGTTTTGTCTTGTATTTGTTGCTATTTGACTCAAGTTGTTCTGCTACTCCCAATATGGATATGTCCATTTCTTTTATTTATTTTGGAAGAGCCATTGCTTTGTTTTCACTGTAGATATTCCAAAAATAATTAAGGAGTTAGTTAAGAAACTGGGGTTGGGGTAACTTGACTTCCCCAGGACTAAAGAGTTTCCCAAGAAGCATGACTTTCAGTTTTAGCACCAGGACAGTTCCAGGCAAACTGCAATGAATTGGTAGTCTACTGGGAGTAGACTGGCAGCATTATTTCATTAATTCTCCTTTTATAACACTAATCTATCTCAAGTACACTTAATGTGTGCGCTTGATTTGACACTAAAAAGCCATTCTAGACACCAAAAAGCCTGGCCTTTACTATGTGGCCAAAGTAAAGCTGACATCAAAGAAAAGAACGTAAGGATAAAATTCTTGCCTAATCTAGGAATTCTCAGGTTTTGAAGGGTAGTATCACAGCTTAGAAATTAAACTTTAACATATAAAAAGCACAGTAATATCTTTAGT